GCGTCCCAGGGCGGGGAAGTCCTGGTGGCATCCTTGTGCCGCTTTGCCTTGGGGAGCAGACAGATTCCGCTGCTGCAGTGAACAGTTCTGGGCTCTGCTTCTCAGCCCCATTCTACCTGCTGAGAGCAACCTGAGAATGGGGTTTGATGTGCAAACTGTAGCGCTTTCTGCTGACCGACCCACCTCCCAGGACCCCAGGGCTCTGTCAAGGCAGCGCACCACCTTGCTGGACTGCCCTTGTTGGGTGCTGTCGTCCGGGGCACACCGGAGGACACGAGGGTGGGCCTATGCCGCCCCGTCATCCTGCCCATGGGGGAGCCCCACATTGTAGCCACCTGTCAGCCCATCACCCTGTGGGGCTCTCCGCCCACCCCATCCTACCTCGCTGCCCCTCCAAGTGGGACTCAGAGCCCCCAGCCTGAGCAGCACTGGGACATTCCAGAAACCCATGTTCTTGGGCCCCCTGCATACAGGCAGAATTGGAGACTCTGGGGTGGGGCTGGGGTTAGTCAGCCCCACCCCATAAGCAGCCAGCTTGCTGGCTCAAAGTCAGGAGCCTCACACTGAGAGAGAGAGCCCCACGAGACCTAGTGGTTCACCGCCGAGTGCTTGCCTCTGCTTCGTCTTGGAGAGCGGCACTTAACTTCTCCCCGATGGGGAGAAGTTAGACCATCGGGGAGTCACTGAGACATATGGAGAGACCTGAGCGCTCCCGCCTCGCCCGTGGAAATGAAGCATCTGCCCCGTGACCCACCAATTCCACGCCCAGGTGTCCCCTGGGAGACAAGAAGGCCAGTGCGCAAACAGGAGCCTGCGCCCCAGTGTCCACAGCAGTCGTGGCCCGGAGACCACCAGGTATGCAGTGTGGTGCACGCACACAGTAGGGTGTCGTTGTGAGAGACCGTTGAGGAGCTTCCACCCCATCGCAAGCCCAGGCGTCACAGAAGGAAACTCCGCCCGGTCCTGGGCCCGGTCCTCATGACCCGTCCTCATGTCCTTGAGCGTCTTCCTCCTTTTCCCGCTCCTCCCGTCAACGGGGATGGCTGTGCGTGTGAAATACACGGGTGAATCGTTGTTTGTCGACGAACAACAGAAGCTTGGCTCAAGGGAGACAGAGGGCGGTGTAAGAGATGAAAATAATGATAAATTATCAAGTCTTCATGGGAGAGGGAGGGGAGGGGGAGGGAGGGAAAAATGAGCTGATGCCAAGGGCTCAAGTAGAAAGGAAATGTTTGGAAAAGGATGATGGCAATGTGTGTACCAATGTGCTCGACACGATGGATGTACGGATTGTTGTAATAGCTGTAAGAGCCCCCAGTAAAATGATTTATAAAAAAAGAACATTGAATCCACGGGTGTTCGGTTCCCTCTGAAAGCCTTGGAAAGAAGGGTCAGCTCGAGGACCAGAGCCCACTAGTGTCTGGCTCGGGGCCACCATCCGTGAAAGTTGGCGTGAGCAGAGACCAGTGGGAAGTCAGGCTCCACGCAGGAGGCAAGGTAGCCCAGGGACGAGCCCCGGGGACCAGCATGATCCCCGTGGGGCCTAGCTCCCTTTGGGACCCGAGGCCCCCCAGCCCATCACTGAGGAGGATGAATGAGCCCCGTGACTCGCCGCCTCCTAGCCCCCCAGGACTGATGGCCCCATCACACATGGTAACTTCATTCTCCTAGAGCCCCTCTTCATTATGTCTGCATTCCAGAGCAGCCGGCTCCCCCCCCCCAGTGCGGGAAGGTAACAAATGAAGAAAGTCAATGGTGTGTAAATTACAACATTGATTAAAGAAGTGATTACTGATAGAACCCGTGCTTGGCTATTATGCTAATGCCTGCCCTGATCCAGGACAATATTTACATGCTAATGACAAGCCTGGGACAGCGGCGAAAATTGGTTTCCCTCCTCTGTCAGCATGTAGACCGTTCTAAACCCATCTTGACTGTGAGCCAGAACACCGGTGGCATGTCCCCGTCCCACTGATCCCCACCGCTGTCCCAGCCAGATGGAAAGGCTCGCACAGCCTACCCTCACCAGCTGCCTGCAAGCACAGGAGTAGGTGAAAGATGGAAATGGGGCCCCCGGGGGCCATCCACCGTGGCCCAACCCGTGGAAAGAGGCGATCCAATCACACAGAACTCATGGCTCAGACTGGGTGTCCTGAGACTCTCCTCTCCCATAGGATCCTGCTTCTGACAGGTCCACAGCCTAGAAGAGGTAGGTGAGAAAGAGGCAAGCAGAAACACAGTGTGATATGGGGAGCTCACGGGGATCGGCATCCTGAGATTTTACCCACAGCTGCGCCGATGTGCAGATTTTATCCGTGCACCTTGACCATCTGGGACCACTGCCTTCCTTGGGAACATGCACACAATTCATTCTCGAGGGACAGGTGCACGGATACTATTCATGAATAGTTGGTCTTGGGAACCAACAGACCGACAATGAGTAAGACACTAGGAGCTTTGCAGATGACGTATGAAGCCCCCCCCCCCCTTGGGCTTTGGCCCCAGCCACACTGGACAGTTTGAGCCTGTCCCTATGTGTGACTCCTTTTGATTTTTGCCCGAAGCCTCTCCAGATGCCACCACAGCCCATGATCAGTGGGAGGAGGAGCTGGTGAGAAGGCCTCAGGTGGACAGTGCACAGCCCAGTGTAGAGCACCTGCCCCAAAGGGCACCGCGCATTTCGGTTTGGGGTGAAAAAGGGCTTGGGAGGAGATAGTGGTGACTGTTGCACGTGGTGAGTGTGAGTAATGTCACTGAATTGTACACTTAGAATTGTTCAGCTTATATATACACATATTATTATTACGTAAGTTACAGCAGTACATTGCCAGGGAGCTTCCCGAGGTTCAGGCTGGATTCAGACAAGGACATGGAACAAGGGATAGCATTGCTGACGTCAGATGGATCTTGGCTCAAAGCAGGGAATGCCAGAAAGATGTTTGCTTCTGTTTCGTTGATTACACAAAGGCATTAGACTGTTGGACTATAATAAACCGTGGAAATTCTTGAGAAGAGTGAGAATTCCAGAACAGTTCGTTGTGCTCATGAAGATCTGTACACAGATCAAGAGCCGGTTTTGCGAAGAGACCAAGGCATAGTGCCTGGTTTAAAGGTGTGCATCAGGGCTGTCTCCTCTCACCCTCCTTGTTCAATCTGTGTGCTGAGCACATCATCAGAGGAGCTGGATTCTGTGAAGAGAGTGCGGCGTCAGGATTGGAGGAAGGCTTGCTAATGACCTGCCGTATGCAGATGGCACGGTCTTGCTTGGTGAAAGTGAGGAGGACTTGAAGCACTTGCTGGTGAAGATCAAGGACTGCAGATGTCGGTGTGGATTATGACTCAATGTAAGAAAGACCAACATCCTCACAACTGGACCAATAGGTAACATGATCAGTGGAGAAAGGTTGACGTCAAGGATTCTGTCTTGCTTGGGTCCACAACCCACGCTCATGGAAGCAGCAGTCAAGAGGTCCCAGATGCACCGCACTGGGTAAATCTGCACAAAACCTCTCCAGAGCATTGAAGAGCAAGGATGTGTATTTGAAGACTAAGATGTGCCTGACCCAGGCATGAATCTTCTCTGTTGCACCCGCCGAGGCAAATGACAGTTAGACACTGAACAAGGAAGAATGTAGAAGAATCGATGCCTTTGAAGGGTACTGAAGAGCATTGAAAGAACCAAGAGAGATACTTACCTGGCAGGGGGGAAGCCATGATCACGAAGGTGGTTTTCCCAGGGGGAGGCTCATCCATTGCACGCCGGATGTGCCGACCCCTGCCATTTCCCCAAATGTGGGAAACTCGACTGCATAATTTGTGGTAGTGGGGGACTGCGTTCGCGCTCTCCCCTGAAAAAGAAATAAAAAAAGAACCAAGAGATGCTAAAAGGACAGACTGATCTGTCTTGGAAGAAGCAAGGCCAGAGAGCTCCTCAGAGGCGGCGGGGCACGGCTTCATCTTGCTTACTCGGACACGCTGTCAGGAGACATCAGCCCTGGAGGAGGACACCCTTTTTGGTGCAGTGCAGGGGCAGCGAGAGAGAGGAAGGTGCTTGACGAGATGGATGGCCCATCAGCGGCTCAGGCACAGGGACAAGGGTGAGGGTGACGCAGGACCGTGCAGGTGTCCCCTTCTGCTGTGCAGACTGTGTGGGGCCCAACAACAGCCACAGTATTGTTATCACAGGGTTTTCCCCTTTTAATGCACTTTTCTATTTCTTTTTCTTCTTTCTCTCTCTCCTCCCTGTCCCTTGGAGTTGCCTCTGGAGCACGCAGACTGCACTGAACCCTGGCCTCAGACTCTGCTTTGGAAGGAGGCTCAGTGCGGCCAGGACAGGGGAAGTCGAGGCGTCCCCCAGGCCCGTGAGCTTCTCCTCCACCCTCTCCTTGTACCGTGCAGGTGTCCGATCGCTGTGACTACGTCTTTGTCAACGGCAAGGAGATGAAAGGCAGGGTGGACGTGGCAGTGAACTTCACGTACCAGCACCTGAGCGCCCCACTGCACATCAGCGTGTGGGTGCCCCGGCTGCCCCTGCAGATCGAGGTCTCTGACACTGAGCTGAACCAGATTAAAGGCTGGAGGGTCCCCATCGTGGCCGGTAAGAGGTGAGTCTTGAACGGGGAGAGGTGCCCAAACCAAACCAACCCAGTCTCCATCCAGTCAACTCAATGCAGGGGACCCACTCCCCATGCCCACACGTCCACAGACCACAGCACTCCACGGAGTTCGCCATGACTGATTCTTCAATGGAGATCTCCACCGGAGATCTGAAAGTGGCCCAGAATTCCTCAGGGAATTCCCACAGGTCCCTCCAGGCCTGGCTGATTTTCCCGGAGGGCAATGGGGAGCTCCTCTTCTGAAGGTCGGTATCCTTGGAAAGTGCTCTGCCGGTCGCCATGTGGGACACAGTGGGTCGCATTTGTACCAAGCAGTAGGCTGACTCAAACAGAAACAGACCCTCGCAGTGCTTCTCAACCTTCCTCGTGCCGCGACCTTTTAATACAGTTCCTCATGTGGTGGTGACCCCCAACCATAAAATTATTATCATTGCTACTTCATCACTGTCATTTTGCTCCTGTGATGAATCGGGCGACTCCTGTGAAAGGGTCGTTTGAAACCGCCCCCCCCAGGGGTCATGACCCACAGGTTGAGAACTGCTGCTCTAAGCAATCTGTTTTTGTGTTCTGAGAAGCACTGCGACCCCCGCCCCTTGCCACCCCCACCCCTGCCACCGCATTCTCCATGCACCCCAAGTCAGGGTGCTGTGCTGGAGTCCTGCTCCCCAGACCACCAGGGTGGTTTTCCTGCCTGTCCCCAGGCACCCGGGGCTCCATCTCCGGTTCACCTTCCTGAGAGGGAGCAGGAAGGTGGGCTGTGGGATTCTTTCTCCATGGGAGAGACTTGCAGGGGTGGCTGCTGGGGGGTACTGCCGGGCCCCAGGAACAGCTTCAGCTGCCCTGTGGCCCCGAGTGGCCCCTGTCTTGTGCGTGGGCCTGCTGTATGAAGGGGCTTGGCCATGGCCATTTAACTCAGTTAGAGCGCGTCTCTGTGAGCACGCTTCTCTCTCCCTTTCTTCAATCATTTTATTGGGGGCTCATACAGCTCTATCGAAATCCATCCATCCATCCGTGTGCCCAGCGCACTTGTACATTTGTTGCCATCATCATTCTCAGAACACTTTCTTTCTGCTTGAACCCTTGGAGTCAGTTCCTCGTGTTGTTGGTCCCCCCACCTCCCCAGGCTGCTCGTCCCCTCAGTCTCAGGGGACCCACCTCCAGCGAGTCGATCCTGCCAGACACAGTCGAACTCACCCCTGTGGTTCCCGGCTTGAATCTTCCCTGCGTCTCCTGCAGTCTGCTGGCTTCAGACTGCTGGCCTTGGGGACAGCACCACAACTCACCACCTAAAACCAACCCAACCGTGCCACCAAACCACACAGACTCACTGCCCCCAAGTCAGTGCTGACTCATGGCGACCCTGTCGGGGCGAACTGTCTCCGTGAGCTCCTGAGCCTGAGCCCGTCTGTCTCCCAAGAGCAACTGGTGGTTTAGAACTGCTAGCCTTGGGGCCTCTGCACCACCAGGCCCCTTACTTGGTAACAGTACTGGCAAGATTGGGTGGGACCCGTGGCGGCGGTGGGCGTTTGTTGTGGGCGTGGAACAAGTGAGAAAGGGAGGTGGGCATGGCCACCCTGTGGCACGCAGGTCCTCAGTGCCCCTGAGGTACACACGTGGAAGCATGAGGGGTGTGTTCTAGTGTGTCTTCTCTCCGTCTACAACAGTAACCACCGTTTTTTGCCACAAGACGAAGACCATGGTGTGTCCAGTGTCCTGAGGACCTGGTGGTCCTGGACGGCCGGAGCGATGGGTGTGGCCCCTGTCCTTGGAGAGAGCAGAGCTGAGACTGTGGGTTCAAATCCAGGCACTATCCTTTAGGAGCCCGTGGTCTTGGGCAAGCCCGCCGCCCCCGGTGCCCGTGCTGTCCTCTCTGCGTGAGAGAACTAGAAGCCAGCACCTGGTGGGGACCACAGGGGGTGCCGGTTAATCCCCAGGAGCGACGTGGCCTCTCCTTTGTGTCGGAATGTTCTAGAACTGCCCTGTTCCAAGATGACAGCCAGGAGTTATGGAGCAAGTGCAGAGCACGAGTGTGACCGACGGACGGACAGACTGAAGGGACTTGTATTCTGTGTCAATGCCACTGCCATGCATTTAAATGACGAGGCTCATGGCTAATGGTGGGGGGGGGTAGGTTTAGTAAGTATCAGCCCTGCAAGCTGTCATCAGACAGGATCTGCAAAGAGCCTGCTGGCATCTGGCCAGGAAAGGGCGCTCCCGCGAGCTCCTGCTGCTCTTCTGGAGCTGAGTGCCCTCTGCTTTCCCACCAGGCCCGCCCGGGACAGCGAGGACGAGGACGAGGAGGGGCGCCGGGGCCGGGGCTGCGCCCTGCAGTACCAGCATGCCACCGTGCGCGTCCTCACCCAGTTTGTGGCCGAGGGCCCCGGCCCGTGGGGCCAGCTGAGCCACCTGCTGAGCCCCGACTGGCAGCTGGATGTCTCCCACCTGGTGGCCGAGTTCACCAAGCTGGAGGAGCCCGGAGTCGCCACCCTCGAGGGCAGCCGGGTCTTGGTCGGCCGGGAAGTCGGCATGACAACCATCCAGGTGGGAGCCGCACCCTGCACTGAGCCCTGACCAGCAGGGCACCGTGGGACAGGCACTCCCCCCGGCAGAGCAGGAGGGCTGGGAGGTTGGCAGATGGACCAGGCCTGGAGCTCCCCTTCTGCCTGCGACAGAAGTGGGGTGTGGTGGTCACCGCCCTTCGAGCGTCCCCACAGGCCCCTCTCTCTGGATCTCAGCCCCGCCCCCCTGACCCCCAGCCCTTGGGCACCTTGTTATGAAGCGCTGTGACCACTGCTTGTCCCCGGGGACATGACATGAGGAGGCAGCCTCCTCCCCTTCTTTCTGCTTCCGTGTGAATGCCTACTGCAAGCCCCTCACACACCTGCCTCCTCCCTGCCCGAAAGGAGACCTTTCCGCAGGGCCCCAGAGAAGGGCGGGTAGTGGAGGGTGTTCAGACTCCCACCTCCCTCCTGCCAGGCGCCCCAGGGGCTCCCCATTGATCATGCCCGTGAGATGGGCAGAGGGTGCTCCGTGGTAGGGTGGGCTGCATGCGGGCCCCTTGCTGTGACATGCTGCATAGAGCCTGCTCCCTTAGAGATGGGAGGACCATGGTGGCCCTGGGAGGAGCAGGGCCCCGGCAGTGGCCAGTGGTCAGGTTGCACAGAGGCAGTCTGCATGAATCTCCCGCCGGCACGATCCCCACCAAGCACCCTCCAGGCCCGCCCGGGGCCCACTGTGACCACGCGCCTGTGCTGCCCCAGGTGCTGTCCCCACTGTCAGACTCCATCTTGGCGGAGAAGACGGTGACCGTGTTGGACGAAAAGGTGACCGTGACCGACTTGGCCATCCAGCTGGTGGCTGGGCTTTCGGTCAGCCTGCAGCGCAGCCCAGAGGACGGGCAAGTCTTCATGGCTGTGACCACCGCCGAGGAGCAGCTGCGGGCTCCCAAGCAGGTGGGATGTGGGTCCCACAGTGGGGGGCCGCAGGGCAGCCGGACCCCATTGGTGGCCAGCAGGGACCTGCCTCCTCTGGGCAGCTGAGTGCCTACTCACGAGCCACCCTGGGCTCCCCCTGTGCTTGGGATCAAGCTGTCCTGCTTTTCCGGGGATGGGGGGGTGGGGGGGCGGCGTGCACCGGAGAATCACCCTCCACTTGTTGCTAGTGTCTTGGAAGAAACACCTGGCCAAGGACTTCCCAGAGACCTGCCCCTGAGCGCCTGATGGACACGCAGGGTCACCTGGGGTCAGCTTTACCGCTGGGGAACCGAGGGGGGCTGTGATTTCAGACCATCCAAAAAGGGCCCCCTTTCTGAAGAGCTGGTGACTCACATAGCAGCCTCAGTAGGCTCCCTAGCATTGCTGCTTCAGCACCGTGCTGACCCTGCCCACCACCAGGGGTCTCCTGCCACCTCCCTTTGCCGGCACAGAGAGGCCAGTGAGGGCCTGGAGCTACAAGACCCACCCACAGGTCCTCTCTGCCCTCCTTGCATGGGGCAGGGGGGGGAGCCTGGTTGGGGGCCGGAGCGGGACGCCTGAGATGCAGAAGGCAGCTGCAGCGTTGTGGTCAGCAGGCCCGCCTACCTGGAGGCAAGGAGCCTCCTCTCCCATTGTTGTCCTCACGGTCACAGGCATGGGGGCCTCAGCAGGTGGGCAGCCTGTTCACATTGGACAGGGCAGCGCTTTGGCTGGGCCATTCCTGGCTGGTGCCCTTTGGCCCTGCTCAGAACCCCGTCTTTGTGGTGAAGCTTCTTCCCAGGCCCCCTTGTCTGGCTGCCTCCCTCCCAGGGAAGAGCAGGGCTGATGGTGGGGCCAAGGGTGGGGGCCGCTCAGACCCTCTGCTGTTGGTTGAGGGGCTCAGTGAACGGGATTCTGCCTTGGCCTTGAGTCTGTAGAGATGGGTCATGTGTTGGAGAGTCGGCCAGCCGGGCTAACCTGCGGTAAGCTGGGCTGACCTAGCTTCTTGATGTGGGCACCTGGGCAGTGCAGACCCCGGGAGGTGGACCTGCCTGTGCTCTTCTTGGTTCGTGTGCCTCCACGGTCCCAGGGGAAGCTTCCCTCCTGGTCGTGGGGCCCACCCACTCCCCGTGACCTCTGGTGTCAGGCAGCACTCTGCCCCACAGGGTGCCCAGGGGCTGGTCTTTTGGGAAATGACCACCAGGCCTTTCTTCTGAGTCACCTCTGGGTAGACACTTGCAACCGAGCACACCCTCCTTTTTACATGCCGGGGTGCTCACCTCGAGTTGGGTGGTTCAGAGCCAGCAGCCGCTCCCAGTGGGAAAGAAGAGGCTTCCTGCCCTATCCAGACCGACAGCCTGAGAAACCCATGCGGGCGGGTCTACTCTGACCTGAGTTTCCCATTTGCTTCTGTGAAGACGCTCCTGTGGGCCTCTTGGGGGCTGAGGACTAGCGGGTTGGGGTCTCCTGGGGAAGGGGGGGGGTGACTCTGTGTGTCCAAGGTGTTCCCTCGAGGCCCCCAGCCCAAGCTGGGCTGAGGTCAGGCCCGGTGGTGTGGGTAGCGGCATGAGCAGGATGGACTCCCTGGCCCTCTCTATCCCTCCAGGAGGCTGTGGTCAGCACATGGCTTCGGTTCAACGACGGCTCGATGGCACCCCTGGACATCTACGACCCTGCTGACTTCTCGTTGGCCGCCGCCTCCCTGGACGAAACCATCGTCTCCGTTCCCCAGGGTCGGTCCCCACGGTGGCCCGCAGTGGTGGCCGAGGGTGAAGGCCAGGGCCCCCTGGTCCGCGTGGACCTGACCATTGCAGAGGCCTGCCAGAAGTTCAAGCGCAGGAGTGTGCTGGCCGTGGGTGTCGGCAGCCTTGAGGTCAAGTTCGGGCCAGGCGAGGCTGAGCCCAACCCCGGCGGGGACCCCGAGGACGAGGTGACTGACAACCATGCCAGTGACCGCAGGCACAAGGGACAGGACAGGCTCCTGCCTGTGGGCGACGGCGGCTCTGTGGGCCGGGAGGGAGGGGCCCTTCGGAAAGCCGGCACCACGGCCCCGTCCCTGCCGGACGGGGCAGGGAGGTCTGGCCGGCGGGACGAGGGCCGTGGGCCCGGCGAGGGGCAGCTGCAGAACATCCCCCTGGACTTCACCAACTTCCCAGGCCAAGTAGACGCACCACACGCCGGGGCTGGCCTGGAGGAGAGCGGGCTGGTGGCGCCGGCCCGAGGCCTGAGCGACCTGGAGGTGGGCATGTACGCGTTGCTCGGCGTCTTCTGCCTGGCCATCCTGGTCTTCCTCATCAACTGTGCCACCTTCGCACTGCGGTTCAGGCACAAGCAGCTGCCCCTGGAGGGCCAGGCCCCAGTGGCCCACTCACACGACTGGGTTTGGCTGGGGAACCAGGCTGAGCTCTTGGAGGCTGGCGGGGGCCTTTCGCCGCCGCAGCCACCGCCACCGCTGGAGGAGCACACCACAGTCCTGGACCACAGGCTGGGGGGCCGCGAGGAGGAGAGTAACCTCCTGCTCAACGGCGCCCCTCAGAGGCAGGGCCCGCCGGGGGGCCGGGAGGAGCCCCTGCACTCACCCGCCTCCAGGAGGAAGCGGGTCCGGTTCTCCACCTTCGCCACCCTCCCCCTGGACGAGGGCCTCCCTGAGGTCAACTCCATCCTGGGCAGGAACGAGGAGGACATCCCCTGGGTGTGCCGGGAGGCGGCAGGCGGCAGGGACCTGAGGGTCCCTCTGGGGAGACTCACGGAGAACGCATAGCCCCTGGCCCTGGCCAGGCTCGGGGACCGCTGCCCCTCCGCTCCTGAGGACTGGGCACGAGAGCGGGGTCCGCACAGCGGAGGGGCTGGACGCAGAGGGCCGGGCGCCGGGTGGACCCGCTGGCCATTTTGAAGCCGGGAAGGGACACTTTTGTATCCAGGTCTGGGGGTGTTTTTTAAGCAGTGGACATTGGTGGGTTTGACCAAACTCGGTGGGGAGGGGCGCCACGTGAGGGGCCGCGTTTGGTGAGGGCAGACGGAAAGCCAACCAGCCACCAAAAACGATTTGTTATAAAAACACAAAAGAACAAATAAAAAGAGACAGAAACCAGAGTCCATGTCCCTTTCTGGGGGGCTGGCCTATCGGACTTTCTCATCTCTTGCAGGGTCCCATCTTCTTGTACGGGCCCTGTTTTCTCCTCCTGCACCCATTGGGTTTACATCGGGGAACCTCCCAGGGTGTCTACTCTCGTCTGGACGCAGGCCCTGTCCCTTCCTGTCGGCGGATGTGCCCTCATCAAGGAGCCCGGAAGCTCGGCTGGGTGTCCCCAGCCTCATCCACGTGTGCTTGTTGGTTGACTTTTGGTGGGGGCCTCAGAGAATGCTGAGGGGCCTTGTCTGCCACTGTTGGCCTTCCACATAGCATCACCAGGAACCCAGGGGTCAGAGGTTCACACCCACCAGACGCTCCTGGGGGAAGGAAGAGGCTCCTGTACAGATGTACAGTGTTGACTGCTCTGCCCCCTCGGGTCACAAGGAAACTGGGTGTCTGGAACCATGAGCCCAGGGTGCCCTCGGTCTGACACCCAGCAACAGTGGCTGTCCAACCTCCAGCCAGGACCATCCCAGCAAGCCACCATCAAATGAAACCGCCCACTCAGTTGTTTGTAAATGCTTGGCTGGACCACATGTCACTAAAACCACGTTCTGCATCCTGCTTTGGTGAGTCCAGACGGAGATCTTGGGAGCTCCTGAGCGAGACCATCTAAAGGCAACAGTGGGCCCCTCCCCATCTGGAGGACAGAGAATTACCAGACACTTGGAAGCAATTACGGACCTTGCGCAGAGCAGCCCCACAGCCAGAGACCAGCAGGACCAGGTGGTCCCCGGCTCCCACTGCCCACCGCTCTGAAAGGGATCGCTGTAGGGGAATTGGATGGAGCAGGAGGAAAACGTGTAACACAACTCAAAATCTGAAAGCAAAAAAGACCAGGCGGATCAGGTGGGAATCCCAAGACCACGTCCCTTCATCACCCGGAAGTGAGCTTCCCCCTGTGTTAGATTAACTGACCATCTAAGATCAAAAGGGCAGCAGTATTTACCCAGGACAATGTTGGGGGCGGGGGAGCAAGGAGGAAGGGAAACAGGAAGTGCAGGGGGGAGTTGGACAAGGGAGGGGCCTGGGGCAGTTTGCAGCCAGGCAGGTAGCTCAAAGGAGCATGAACCACTGGAGGTAAGAGTCGTGAGCCGCTCTGTAACCTGCACCTAATTCCCAATAAAGAGTTGTTCTCTGGTTTTCATTTAAAATGTGTTTGCTTTGAGCAGTTTGTCCTTTTAAAGAATTTTCTACAAGGGCTTGGCCGGGCGGGGATTCCTGGGTGACCCCGGGACAACCGGGTGGGGCTGAGCGTCTAGCACCTGGGGTGGAGGTGGGGGGTACTGAGGGTGGTGACAGCCTGCAGGCAGGGCCTCTGACATGTCCACTGCTTCACTGCGGGTGGACAGATGTGGCTGTGTCCAGTGCCACCTGAAATAAAATTGTACAGACCCGCGGCCCGCCTTGAGGGACAGCCGTCCGCCTTGTGAATCACCAGGCCCTGCACCCCCACCCCGACCCCGTGAATTTGGCAAGCAGCAAAGCGGGCCGGGCTGAGCAGGGAGGGGACAGGCTCCTTTGTCCACTGCGACCGGCAGCAAGGAGCATCTCAGGGACACCGGGAAATGTCTGCAGGGCTGGGGTGAGTACAGCTGTCACCTCCCTTCTCAGACTGGCCCCAACCTGGGGTGCAGCTGTGCAGATCGAGCCCCCCATTGGGGTGGGTGGGTGTGCAGAAAGACAAGAACCACCCCCACGGGGCTCCTGGGAGTTTCGATGTTCCCTGTTCTATCTGGAGAACAGCTGACATTCTGAGAACTCATGTGGCCCGATCCAAAAGCTGCACAGCCGGCGGGGCCGTCCCTGCACGTGGAGATGCCCTGCTCTGACTGCCCAGGCCCGCTCCCATCCAGCGGGCTTGGCCGGACTGTGCTTAGCATGGAGGGTCTGTGGCTACCGCGTGGGGTAAGGCTGAGGCGCCACTTTCCCGGTAGCAACCATGCACTCCCTTGGCATCTCTGCAGCTGCCCACCGGGCCACCGTAGCAATATTCCAGACGTCTCTGCCCAGGGCTTGCCCTCACTTGAGAGAGACCGCAGTCCGGTGTCAACCGGCCTACAAGGCCCCGACATCCTCCTGAGTCAGCAGCAATCACCGCAAAGCCGTCTCGCCGGGGAAGCTGGTCCTGCTGCCCAGTGTCTGGTCAGCCCGTCCACAGCCACAGGCTCCAGGTCAGCGGGGTTCACTGGGGGGAGGAGGAGGCCCTCCAAACCGTCAGTCTGAGGTGGCAGAGGGTGTTGTGTAAAAGCATCCCTGGAGTTGGTTACCACAAAGCCGAGGGCACAGACCGTCGGGGCCCGACCTCCCAGTGAGCTCCAGTACAGGAGTAGAAAGCCGTCTGTCTCCCGCAGGGAAGCTGGTACTTGGCAACTGCTGACCGTGCGGCTAGCCGCCCAACTCAGAACCTTCTCCACCGGCAGGGCTGAGGCTGGGCGTCAACCGGGTGTGTTCTGAAGGCTCGAAAGTTGGTCTGTCGTTTTCTGAAAAAGAAGATATGGTCGTGGCGTGTGGTTCTGTGTGTCTGCTGTGTGAACGCGGGTGGAGCGGATGGCGTGCAAGCCTCTGTGACCACCTGGGAAACCTGTGAGCAACTCGGCCTGTCCCATAGTCACATGACTCGGAACAGACTGCGTGGGTGCTGGTGGGCGTGCCAGTCCGGGTGGACTCGAGAAAAATCCAGAGACACTCATCCGTGTGAGAGCAGTTGTACATTGAGAAAACCTCCCAGCCCAGTCCAGGTCAAGTCCGTAAGTCCGATATTACCCCATATGTCTGATACCAGTGTATAAATTCCTCTTCAGACTCATGCAACACACGCAATGGTGCTGAGTGCAGGAAGATCACAGGCCACTAGGTGGAAAGTCTTGTGGATCCAGTGGCAGTTGAAGTATCTCAGTGCTGGCTCTGGAGCTCTAGCGTAGCTCCATGTGTCTTGTCACCAGGAAGAAGATGCAGACAGTGTGTGTGAGTGTATCTGGCCTCCAGGGAGCTATTTATCTCCTTGGCGCCTCCAAATGAGGTCATCAAGCTGGGACCTGATTGACGGCTTAGACTCCACCCTTTTGCAAGTTGACAGGAGTTGATGTCACTGCCACAGTGGTGCAGGTGCCTGTTTGAGCGCTGAGCTGCTCACCCACCAGGTGCCCCAAGGGAGAAACAAGACCCTGCACACACCTGCAGATAGAGAGAACCTCAGAAACCCAGAAGGGCAGGTCCACCCTGGCCCGCAGGGTTGGAATCCACACGAAGGAAGTGTGCTTGGGTGTTAGCAACTGACATAGTGATCAAAGCAAAACCCTGGGTGAGCTGAGCCGGTGTCTTCTGTCTCCAAGCGTCATCAGGTGGCAGCTCTGTGCCAAGGCTTCAGACTGGCCTGCCCAGTGGGAAGGTCCAGGCGCTCTTGGCTGGGGACCTGGCTGGGGACAGGCAGACTAGGATGGCGTTGGCTTGCTGCTAGCCGTGTGTCCTCCACAGCGTGGTCTGGGTCTGTGCGTGCAGGGCCCACCGGGGTCTGAGGCATGGTGGCTGCAGACAAGCCCTCCTGAGGCCTTGCACCTGGTGTACCATCGCTTCTGCCAAAGCAAATCGAAGCACCAGCCCTAAACCTAGAGGTGTGGGCTCTTTTCTCTCCTTGGAAACCGTGTCACTGAGCTGCCCTTCCACCAGGATCTTCTCAAGCTGCACAGGGAGTGAGGAAGACCACAGACCCACGCGTCTGCGCTGCGGTGTGGTGGAGTTTGGGAGACGCACAGTCAGTCAGAATGAGGAACACGTCTGTCTTGGAAGAAGCACGGCCAGAGTGCCGCTGCCGAGCCGAGACTGGCAAGACTCCGTGTGACCCATGTGACCAGGAGGGACGGCCCCTGGACAAGGACATCTTGCCGGGTGAAGCAGAGGGTCAGCAGAAGAGAGAGGATGAGGCTCCGGGAGGCAGACAGGCACCACGGCCGCGGTAACAGGCTCCGACGTAGCGACATGGGTACGGGAGCGCAGGGCCGGGCGATGTTCGCTTGCTTACACTGTGCGTGCATGAGTCAGCACTGACAACACGAGACATGGCCCACCCAGAGGGGAGAACCAGGGGCTGGGTGTTGGCTCTGATAACCCACCCCTACCGTCACATGGCTTCCGACCCACAGCTGCCTCATACGGGGTCTCCGAGGCTACACATCGTGATGGGAACAGACGGGCTCCTCTTGCTCCTGGGGGAAGGCTGCCGGGCTCGGACCACCCACCCTGGGGCTGGCAGCCCAATACCAGGCTCCTACCGACCAGGACGGAACGGGAGGAAATGTGCGGAACCATCAGATCAAACCCCACCAGCAGCAGTAGGACCCATACACCGTGCACCTGACCCGGCCGAGGGCTAGGCTGCCCAGGCTGCTCAGCGACAGCAACGCCACTTTACGGCAGCTCTGGGGAGCTAATGCTTTCTGAAGTTCAGTTATTTCAACAAATGCCTGAGTCCTCTTCAGGAAGGGGAAGGTGGAGGGGAAGAACTTACTTTCTTACCATTTCAAGAGCCCGCTGTCCTCCAGTGGATTCAGAGGCCCTACAGGAGAGACCGGATCTACTCCAGTGGATTCAGAGGCCCTACAGGAGAGAGCGGATCTACTCCAGTGGATTCAGAGGCCCTACAGGAGAGAGCGGATCTACTCCAGTGGATTCAGAGGCCCTACAGGAGAGAGCGGATCTACTCCAGTGGATTCAGAGGCCCTACAGGAGAGAGCGGATCTACTCCAGTGGATTCAGAGGCCCTACAGGAGAGAGCGGATCTACTCCAGTGGATTCAGAGGCCCTACAGGAGAGAGCGGATCTACTCCAGTGGATTCAGAGGCGTGATTCTTACGGAAGCTGCCGGGCTGCACCTCTCTCCCGCACAGCGGCAGGTAGGTTTGAACCCTTGACCACTCCCGGGTCCCGTGTTCGCGCATGTGCAGGCCCAGGACCTGCTCTTTTCAGCCTCTGCCTGGGCTCCTTCCTAGCTCCTTCCTGTTCAGCTGACCACTGAGAGGGTGGGGCCTCTGCTTCCCAGACGAAGTGTGTACCACATGGGACCACACCCACACTGAGATGTGCCAGGGAGTCTCCACGCCCCTCCTTGCCCCAGTGCTGTCTCTCAGCCTAGCTCACCGCCTGCGGGACCCCAGTGTGCTCCATGACAAGGGTTGACCTTCATGAGCAATCGATCAAGGTGGTCAGGAGAGAATAGAGGATGGCTCCTTCTGAAGGATCAGGAGCCACTGGCTCAGCTTGTTGAGTAAGGAGCGACGAACCAGTCCTCCTTGGTTAGCGGTCCACAGTCACGTGCGGCAGAACGGGGGCACACTGCGCGTTTGCGGGTTCAAGCCTCCTGTTCCCCCTGGTTGCGGGCAGTCTGCAGGCATGGGTGCTGGTCCAGAGATCTGTCCAGCCCACTGACCCGGGGCAGGCCCCCATTGGTCTGTGGGTGGGAAGGCACCCTCCCTCACTGTGGGTGCTCACGCACTGGCTCACACACACAGTGGGGGACGTGCTCACGGTCTGTCTGGCCCCGTAGACGGACAGCCTCAGGAACCCCACGTAGTCACTGCGTCGAATCCATGCGATGGCAGGGTCGGCTGTGACCTCGGTCAGTAGGGAACCCTGGTGGTGAGGTGCCAATGGAGACAGAGGGGCCCCAGGAGCACGGCTGCTAGGACTGAGGAGCAGCTCCCGTCCCGGGGTCTCAGTCAGTCAACTCGGTGGCAGTGGGTTTGGGTTTGGCTACGTCAGTGTGGCCAGGGGACACTGTCAAGTCCTGGGGCAGGAGCCCCAGGGCAGAAGGCTCTAGGACACTGGCTGTGGTCAGGCGGGTAGGTGGCACTGTGTTGATGCTGTGGCCACCAGCACTGTGTGCCTCGGACTGGACTGTCCTGAGCGCTGTGGACCCCCACCCCACCCCACACCCCCCTCCCCACTCGGCCACCCTAGGCTCCTGGGCATCTACTTCCGGGGCCACTGCCCAGCGACGGCCCGGTTTGGCTGAAGGCTGAGGGATGGATAGTCTCAATCATTTCTCACTTTAGCTAAACCTGTTTGGCCATCTCCCCAATGTGCAGCTGAGCCCGGCAATCAGATTTGGGTGGAACATCTCAGTTCCATGATCGGGTGGGATGGGCCCCAAGCTCTGAGTGAGGCTGGGGAGGCAGCACGGGCAAAACCCGCCTGACGGGTGCGGCTGGATGCCCAGGCCATAGGCGACCTGGTCAGACCAACTGGGGCCTTGACATGTGTGTCCCTCTTCTGGACAGCAGGCCGAGGTCCCCAGCACTGCACAGTGAGGGCGCTCAGCTGCCGACCACAAGGTCGGGGGTTCCTATGGGGTGGGCATGAGTGGGAGAGGAATGGGGTGTCGGTGGACAGCCCCCCAGGAGATGTGGGGCTGGGTGCCGTTGGCACAGGCAGGCCACTGGCCTCTAGAGACCGGCCAGGACTCACTTGCTCTCTGCTGTGGAGTTGCTTCTGGCTCAGTGGCTCGATAGCACACTGAACCAAACCACACGCACTGCCACCGAGTCAGTGCCCCCTGACGGTGCCCCGTGCCCCTGTGGGTCTCTGGGACTGTAACTATTTGAGGGAGCAGAAAGGAGCTGCTGGTCTCCCCCTGCTGACGAGTGGATCGCAGCCCAGGCGGGAGTCCCCACTGCCGCCGGGGCTCCTCTGGGACAGGGTGGAAGGGGCACCCTCCACATGTCCTCGCCCATGTCCAGCTTCACCCTGGCTCTGTCCTCCAACCAAGCCCTTCCTTTGGGTGAGCGAGCTGGGAAGGGGACGCTCCCACAGGAGCAGGTGCTCCACTCAGGCCGCGGGGGGCTGACCAGCCAGCTCAGATGGCCAGCCCGTGTGAGCAATGCAGTCCCCGGGCCAGTGTGCTGGCCGTGAAGGGCGTACTCCTGTCCACGCACCCGGGTGCCAGTGAGCAGTCGGCTGTGAGTGTGCATGCGCCTAAGGCGGCCGGTGTGAAGGGACATTTGAAGCCCCTCCAGTCACAGCCTGGCGCCCGCAGCCCCTGGAGGCGCTGTGCAGCCCCTGCTGCAGGCACAGGACCGCGGCCCCTCCACCCCGTGGGTGCAGAGGACGGTGAGGGGTCCTGCCTGCCTTTGCCCAGGCCGGGGATGCAGGAATGGCCGTCAGCTTCCCTAAGGCACCCTCCTTGTAAACTCCTCGTCAAGAAAACTTTCTCACCTAATGACTTTATTTGTACCCTCTGAAGACCTCCAGGCTAAGGAAGCTCTGCTCAGCAAACTTGCTCTGGGACCCCAGGGCACAGTAGTCTCCCTCCATCTGGGACCCCTCTCCCTCTGGCCATGCCTGAGGGGATGCGCACAGGGGGGTGCCCCCACAGGAACTGCTTGTGGTAAGCACGGGCTAGGCTGAGGGGGGTGGAGGTACGGAGTGAAGCAGGCACCCTGCTGAGCTCCTCCTCCTCCTCCATGCTGTCTCTGCCGCCATGCCTTGGAGATCAGGTAGGAGGCAGCTGGACAATCACCCCAAAACATCAACAAATATAGAACCCTTTATTTAACAAACAACAGAACTCTCGGCCATGGAGCAGAGCCAGGCTCACCAGGACACCAGTCGAACAGCTGGGGTTCACGTGTAACACTGGGAGTGGTTTTCCAGCGACAAGGGCGGTTCTGCCCAAGTGACCTTGTCCTGACCCCTCCCCAAGCCAGTCCTCTGTGTCACCGGGACCCCCGCCCCCTTCACTGCCTGGTGGGGTTTCCGTGAACTCCCAGAGGTATGAACTGTACCGTCAGAGGTGACGGGCCTTCTGCTTTGCTGATGCACGTGCTACTGACGAGAGAAAGGTGAAGTCCCGGTTTCACGACTTTCTCTGAAGCAGCAGATAAAACGAACCAAACAACCCCCCCCACACACACAGCTGCCCTGGACGGGGCCTCAGTGCGGCCCCCACTGACACGGGACCAGCCCGGAGCGGCCGGTCTAAAGGCTGGTCCGTGTGGTCAGAGTCCGTCCACGTGTCGGGCGGGAAGCGGGTCGGCGGCTGAGGGCTCCAGCAGGAGGAAGGGGAGCGCGCCCGTGCCCGCCCCACTGCCACAGTGCGGGGTGGCAGGAGCGGGGCAGTAAGGCACTTGCTCATCCGTTGGGAGTGGGGGCAAGTCATTTCAGTAACACAGGAGTGCTCACAACGTCGACGCCCCGGCCTTGCGGAGCACGGGTCAGGCCCTCCCAGAGGCCATGGCAGGCACCCCACTGGCCCTGGACCGCTGGCGGTCATACTTGACAGAGACGATGAGGAACAGCAGGAGGGTGGCCCCCTGGATGGCAGCCAGGAGGAAGAAGTAGTAGTTCAGGTAGCAGCTGTTGATGTTCCCTGGAAGAGAGCCGAGGCATCAGAGCCTCCACAAACAGTAGCCTGGGAAGAGGGGGCTGCTAACAGCAAGGCTGGCAGTTCAAGCCCACCAGCCGCTCTGAAGGACAATGCTGAGGCCGTGTGCTCCCTAAAGACTCACAGCCTTGGGAGTCCGTGGGGGCTCAGGGGAGCAGACACCTCCCCTTCCTGCCAGAGGGGACTCAGAGCACCGACCTTCTGGCCACCCCCCACACCATCCTGCTGTTTCCCACGGGCAAGACGGAAAAAGAAAGACCCCCAATCCCGTCACTGCCCAGATGCCTCCGCAACGAGACAGACGCTGCCTGTGCTTCCTCCAGCACGCGCACAGCAAAGGCGACGGGGCAGTCCCGGCTCTTACCGAAGTCCGTGTGGCTGCTCATCCAGCCGATGGCCGGGGTGGACACCAGGGCCAGCAGCCCCGAGCCCACGAAGGAGCCGATGCCGGAGAAGAAGAAGAACAGACCCATGATGGCGCTCTGCATGGACCTGGGGGCGGCCGAGTAGGCGAACTCCAGACCTGGGAGGAGAGGAGAGGAGAGGCGGCTGCAGGGCTCGGCCGGCACCTGTGCTGCCCCCGCCCCGCGCAGACCCTGGACTCCGGCTCTCTGCAGACCCCGGGCCTGGCTGCAGGAGTCCTGCCCGCTTCGAAACACACTCACGCACTGGGACAGAAGGTCCGCCTGATAACTGCACTGGGGCTCGGGTCTCTCAAGAACGAGGCACCATGTTTCCCAAAGCAGTACCTCAAGGGGCCCCAGCCCAGCCCACCACCTTCCAAGCGTCCACCCACCACCACTCTGCTGCCTGCAGGACCCCGCAGGCCGACTCACCTGCGATGCTGGCAAAGATCTCGCTGATGCCGATGAGCACGTACTGCGGGAGCTGCCACCAGACGGGCAGGTCGGCCGCGTGGTAGACCACGCTCCCGATGGTCTGGTTGATGGTCTTCTCTCTCACCAGGCCCAGCCGCTTGCTCTCCAGGATCCCTGAGGGCGACAGCACACAGGTTGGCCGGGGCCCGCAAGCCGAGATGTTTGCGCTCCAGATGGGGCTGCCTGGCTCCCTGCCTCTATGCCCGCCCAGACCCAGAGGGTGCGTGCCCTGCGGACCTAACTCAGGACTGATGGCCCTACAGGCTGGCTCCTGGGGTTCCAAGAGTAGGTCTTTCCTGGAGCAGACGGCCTCACCCCTCTCCCGAGGAGTCTCACAGGGCCTGGCATACGAGGCAGCCTGGCTGTGCAGGGCCCTGTGCCCATCTCCAGGGCTCCCATCCACATACAGCAGAGAACAAAGGCAGGAGACCGAAGTGAAGGCATCGTACCGACCACCAGAAGACTCACCAGGAAAGGTCAAGAACGAAAAGCATGTGGGGAAACGTGTGCTCGTGTGCGCGTACACCGTCTGTGCAGGCGACCCACGGGGGCTTCCAAACGGTGGTAGGAAGTCCCACCAGGGCAGGCTGCACGAGCATGCCCGCTCTCTCCTATGAGCATCAGTGTGAAGTTCCTCTTCTATCTCGGTTATCTGATGGCATCGCCCTCGCCTCTGTCGTACTAGGAGGCGGCATTGGATGTGGTTATGTCCATAAGGCTGGACACCTCTACAGGGTTAGGCTCTATCGAGTTGCGGTCTTGAGATCTAAGCATTGAAACAAGGGACCTATCCCACCGTGAAAGGCGGCCAGGGACAGTGTGTCCTTGAGCCGAGAACCACGGGACCCGGGGCAGACTGATGACAAGGACGTCCCAGAGCCTCCTGAACGGACAGCACGTCCCTGTCACTGCTATCTCAGAGGCAGAGCCCAGACCAAGACTGTGGGAAATAAAGGCCCTTCTCCCCCTGGGGCCACAAGGACCCGCACCAGGAGGAGCTATTCCAGGGCTCGGGAGACTGCCAGGCTGGGCAGGGACTGCTGCTCACGGTCTGCGGGGCGCCCGGCCCAGCAGATCACGCTCTTCACCTAGGGCCAGCGTTCTCTCAGAATGGCCCCGCCCAGCACGGGCTCCTGCTCCCCGCGGGCGCTGCACAGGGGCTGCAGCACGCCTGCCTCGTCACGGAAGGAACGCAGTAGTGTGACTGCTGCACAGCTCAGCGGTTCCCAAACCCCGGGAGCAAGAACTCCAGGAGAGGCGGAGAACGCAGAACCCGGCTCTACCAGCCAAAGACGGAAAGCATTTCAGGATGTAAGATTTGTGAAAGCAGAATGGAGCCCCCATTCAGTTTGAAGACTCGCTTTGCTGCTTGACCTTCTGGAAGCTAGAAGAGGGGCTGGTCTTAGGGCGACAGCAGTCTCCTAACACCCTCCAGCGAAGGTTCTCATCTCACGTGACAAGTCAAAGGGCCTAGGGGCATCCTGGGCTAACCCCAAGGCCAGTGGTTCAAACCCACCACCAGTTACCCTCGGGTAGGACGCCTGCTCCCACAAAGCTGCACAGTCTCGGAAGCCCTCCGCTCTGCTGTGTGGCACTGACCCCATGCTGGGCTCGTTTGGGGTGAAGGCTAACAAGCAGCCTCGTGCTGAATCTCCGTTTGAACCTGTCACATCTCAGCAGTCAGTGGTGTCTGTAAGCCCCACCAGTGCACACGGCACAGGCCACACCTCGTCTGCACCCACGCAGAGACCACGTCCATGTCTGGGAGGCTTTGAAAAGTTCACGGGACAATTCCACAATCTTTGATTCCATGTCCCCTCACACGGTCTGGGAGAGGAGGCTGCTGCCTTGGACACCCCCGGCAGGCCTCTGACTGCCCTCGAGGAGAAGAGGCAGACAGACCGCAGGAACGAAGGCGTCCATCCGGAGGCGGCCATGAGGAGTGCAGGGAAGAAAGGGCCTGTGGTCTGAGCGCCGCCTCACCTGCAGCAAAGGCCGAGCACATGACGAAGAACATGCCCACGGCGATCCTCTTGAGGGAGGAGGGCAGCAGGCCGTTCCTCCTCAGGACGGGGTCCACCAGCTTGTCCTTGAGCGGGATCAGCAGCAAGATGAGCACAGCGTCGAACATGGTCAGCCAGGCCGCCGGGAACTGTGGGCAAGCGGCGCCTGAGTCTTGTCTACAGGAGGCCGGCCCTCGGGGGCAGGTCATCGCACACGGGCTCCCTCACACGAAGCCCCAGTGGGCACCTCTCAGGAACACCCGTGGCTTGGTCTGCTCAGGGGCCGGCTGAGGCTCCCCTGGGCCAGCTGCATCCAGAGCCGAGGTCAGTTCAGAGGGCTACACTTACTCTCGGGACACAGACACCGGAGGGCCTGTGGTCCTTTACGAGAACTGCCCTGGTGCGAGAGGGCACTGGCAAGGCCTGCTTGTGCTGAGGGAGGGTCACTGGGCCACGCCATAGGGCCTCGTGGGGGCCTGACCCTCCCTCCACCCACCTCCCTTTCCGGGCTCTGAGCTCAAGGAGCAGGGACAGTGGCCGTGCTGCTGATGGAGGGAGGGGAGGGGTGGGCAGGTAGCCTGCACGGGCCGTATCGGGAAGTGGATTCGAGCCTCCCGTTCTGGGTATTTTTGTCTCAGATGGTTTCTATGGTGTTCTGAAGCGAGACCTTTTGACACACGCTCATACAACCTCAAGAAACTGCGTCAACCCTGACAACCAGCGAGTCTGCCGACCTCTCGAGAAGCTTGCTCGGCTCGTCTCTGCTGGGGGGCAGGGGCACACGCATGTCTGATGGGGATCATTTACATCTAGTCGGCAATGTGGCCAGCAGGAAACGTGTCCATTAAACAAGTACAGTTCCATTCCAGCAAGAACCCGTGTTCACGCGGACTACGCGCGTTTAAAGAATCCACAGGGTGTGTAAACCCAAACAAAGGCCAATTTCCCGGGTTAGTTCAACAGTTCTTACCGTGTGAGGGGTGGTTGTAACACTTGATATTTCTGGGATCTTCAAGTGAAGACTCTGTAAAACGTATGTTGTCTGCATCTGGGCATAAAAGGCACATCGTTGTTATACTTGAGCCAGTTCAATCTCTCTCTCTCTCTCTCTGTCTGAACACACACACACACACACACACACACACACACACACACACACACACACACACACACACACACACACGAGACAGTGCCCCCAGAAGCTGTCCTTGGCAGGTCGCCGTAGAAGTCCAGCTGCACAGAGCAGAGCAAACAGCAGGCTGGCCGTGAGCGGTCGCCAAACAGTGGAGGAGGCCCAAAGGAGTCGGTCCGTGCCAAGAGAAACTCCCCGCTCCTGTGAGCACCGGTCAGCACTCACTTGGAAGTACACCGTCCAGTAAGGGATCAGAGCCAGGAAGACGGGGACAATCTTGACGAGGGCTTTGACGTCCTCCACTTTGTCCTCTGGGAATGGCCCTCCTCGAGACATCTTACATGAATCAAACAGACTGTGTTTAGAAGGTTGCTGAGAGACGTCAACGCCTTCACTTTGGGAAACAAAATGAAGGAATTAGTTTGCTCCCACCCACGCCCCAAGGTCCATCATCTGGTCTCAAAGTCACGGGGGTGGGAGACCAGCTCACCACACTCAATCTGCATTGGGCTCGTGAACTGTGCGTGGTTGGAGACCACTAATGGGGAGCTGTGGCGATGGCAATTGCTGGGGTGCTAGAGGCTGGGGATAGCGTCTGCTGTGTCTGCATAGTGTAGACGCGGATTTACCCTTGTGGCACCCCCACCCATGACCCCGAGGAAACCCACAGCACTCCAAAGGCTGGGCCCCCCAGGACCAAGGTCTGAGAGGCGCCCTCCTCTGGGTGCCTGCATGTGAATTTGCGACCTTAGCAAGGCCAAACAAAGGCTGACCCCTGAGCAGGAGGCGGCCACCTGGGGGCCAGAGGAAGCCCTGCCTTGGGGGGGATAGGCGGGCCAGATCTGGGTCAGCAGGAGTTCACACAGGAACCCTGGTAGCATAGGGACTCCCATGGCACAGTGGTTATGGGTTGGGCCGCGAACCACAAGGT